AAAAAAAAAAAAAAAAAAAAAAAAAAAAAAAAAAAAAAAAAAAAAAAAAAAAAAAAAAAAAAAAAAAAAATCTAACGCTGACTTTAGAACACTTTGAAATATATATATATATATATATATATATTTATATGTATTTATGTTTTTAAAAGTGGATTATTCCCAAAGATCCTTTTCCTCCTTTCTTTTCATAAAAGTAAAATCTTTTTAAAAGATCACAGATGATGTATGGTCCCCACGGTTATTTGTAAACTTAGGGTATATTTCTTTCTACAATATCGTTACAAATTATATTTTAACATATTTATATTCTCCATTAAATTAAATCTCAACTAATTTAACTAATTTTACATGATAAAGTATATACAAAATAAAATCATTTTATATGAAAATAATTATTTGCATTATCATAAAACGGTTAAAGAACTATCCGATGTATGTGTCATGGTCTTCTAAATTGTGATGCTACCCTCCGTTGTACACGAGAGTCTTGCTTGCCTTTATTTGGAAAATAAGAGTAATATATGACTTGAGTATTTTAAGAAATACAAACACGCACAATGATGAGTGAGACTAACCTTTTGATCAGCATTGTACTTACGACATTGGTGTAGCTTCCATTATCAATTACAAGACTACAATGAGTCCCCTTGACTAAACACCTTGTGTGACATAGGTTGTCTCTTTGATCAACAACATCATTATTTGTAACTTGAGTTTTAAGAAGTCTTCTGGTTACAAGTACCAAATGACTTCCATCTTCTAGTTCCTCCTCATGCTCCTGAATTTCCTCTTTAACTAGCTCATTATGGTCACTTTCCTCACTATCTGCGACAACTTGTCCATTCTTGATGATCATGACTCTCTTGTTAGGACAGTCACGACTAAGATGACCAATTCCTTGACATTTCCAACATTTGATGTCTCTATTTCTTTCTCGAATCTCCTTATATTCCTCCGCTTTCTCTTTACCCTTGGAGGTCTCAGCTTTGTTCTTTTTGTCAAGATCATACTTGCCTCCAACTTTGAAATCTATCTTTTCAATATTTGTATTCTTTTTCCAAGTGTGGAAAGTAATAGACTTTGAGATACCATACCTCTTGGAGTTCTCCTTCTCCCAAGCTAGTTGCCCTTCGATTTTGATAGCAAGGTGTAACAATTCTTGCATATCAAAGTATGCTTGCCTATCCACTTGATGAGCAAGTTGTCGGTTTAACCCACCAAGAAATCTATCCATTGTATCTTCCTTATCTTCATCAATACATGCTCTATTCATAAGGGTCTCCATTTCTTTATAATATTCTTCAACACCTTTGGATCCCTGTTGTAAAGTATAGAGTTTTTGCTTGAGTACTCGAGAATAATGCTTAGGAATGTACATTTTTCTCATTAATGTCTTCAATTCCTCTCATGTTTCAATTGGTTCTTCATAATTTCTCCTCCACTCTGATTTCAAAGATGTCCACTAGATAATGACGTAATCACAAAATTCAACCACAACAAGCTTCAACTTTCTTTCTTCACTGAAATTGTTGCAATCGAAGATATGCTCAATTTTGCTCTCATATTGCAAATACTCCTTTGGATTAGATCTCCCATAGAAAGTTGGAATTTTTAGCTTTACTCCCGTGACTCCTTTTTCTTTTTCTCTCTCATACTGATACTCCCTCTCAATTCTTTTTGGTGCTAAAATTTCTCTACCCCTTCTTCTGACTCTTCCTCTCTCTCGACCGACATCTCTCCCTCCCCTAGGACTATGTCCCGCTAAAAGGGTGACATTGTCATCTTCTTCATTTTCAACTCATTCATTCAAGAGTACTTCCCTCCCTTGAAGATTACCTAAGGCTATTTCAATTCGCTCCATCCGGTCTGTCAATGTACTAATAACTTGATTCAAACGAGTAATTGTTCCGACCTGTGCTTCTCTCCACCTAGCTTCATTGATCTCTCCTCCATTTCCTCCATCTTGGTTCATGATTGTACAAATAGTAGTGGAATATGTTTAGGACCTCACACACTCAACTCACTGATCTTACACTTAGGGACACTCGTGTTCATACACACAAAGGTACGCTATTCGGGAAAGTGACTAAATTATGATCAAGGTAGGCTAATATATCGGTAAAGCAATTCTGATAGTAGCAAGCTATTCAAGGCAATCAAGATAAGTTAATTATGAAATAACAACAAAATAAAACAAGACGTGAACAAAAAAAAAAAAAGGACACGAAGATATTTTTGGATATAATTGCACACTGAAAAAAATTCCAAAAAGAAAGGACGTGAAGATTTTAAGAACGATCTAACTCTCCTTTTTACAGATTTCGGGAAATTTAGAAGTTATCTTCAAGCGTAGATTATGAGGAAAAGAAAAAAAAATATCAAACACAACGGTTCTAGATTTAGATGGATGAAGAAAAAGATGTGAATCGAAGTTTATTTGATCTTCAAATAAATATGCAAATGATGATAAATATCGTTTATAATCACAATCGTAAGAACAAATATGTTAAGATTTTTTTTTTCAAGATCTCAACGTGATCTTTAGGAAGAAAATGAGAAAAAAAGTGAAAAGTTGATAAATAATGGTTGAAATGACAGCAAAAAAAATAAATGGACAAGTTTAAAGAAAAGATAATATATAAGCCTAGGCTCTGATACCAAATTGATAAGACAACCCTAATCCTCAACTCAACTATCCAAACTTTTGAATCCTCAACCCAACTATCCAAACTTTTGTTGAAGCAAGAACCTTTGAATCATAAGTAATTAACACCTCCTTATACGATTTGGATCAACCAAGAGATAAGGCTAGAATTAGATTACCTCTTACGATCAAGATCTAGAAGCAAGATTTGGAAATCTTGTTCTAAATTGAGTCACTCCACAATCTAACTTGATCAAGGCTTGATTGAATGGCACGGGTGCAATTCTACCACAAGAATTGCTTGAAACTTAGAAACGGAAAATATAATGCTCGGATTTTTAAGGGAAACGTCTAAATTTGAGATCTGAATTACATTCATCCACGAATCTGATTTTTACAAACGACGAAGTCAATTTTGACCAAT